ACCAGCGACCTGGACAGGTCGTTCATGGCGGCCGACTCGGCGCGGTTGTGGCACGTCCCCCTCACCATCCCCTTGGTCCCGTCTGCACCGCACCGCACCGCAAGAACCCATCAGAATTTGCAACCGATCGAGGTGGCCGTGTCTACGCACTACACAGTCATCGTCGACTCGTTCGTGCACTTACATTGGTTCTCGACGACGTAGCGCCACTCGTAGGCGATGCCCTCGGCGCCCTCCTTGGCGCCTTGGAGGTGAAGACGAGCAGGCGGTGGTTGTCGCGGACCATGTCGCTGAGCAGCGGCCAGTCGCCGCCGTTCTTGGGCATGCGCCAGACGGGGAACATGTAGGGGAGCAGGCCCGACGCGTTGAGCACCCGGGTGAGGCCCTTGGGCGACTCCACGTAGTCCTCCACGAAGATGGTGATCACCTCCGACGGATTCCGCGATAGGAAGCGCTCAACCTCCCGGAGCACGTTCACCGCCGGTTGCTGAGAGAGTAACCCAGAGCAGCAGAGCTCAGAGTTGCAGTTTTGTCCCCTAATGCTGATGGACTGAAAGGAAAAAAAAAAGACAGAAAGGGATGTGTGGCGCTTACGAATGCGGTGAAGTTTTGGCAGATGCCGCCGTAGGAGTGGCAGAGCCAGATGTCGTTGCGGAAGTCGTACATGTCCAGCATCAGGCCCCGCACGCCGCTCTGCGCACAAGGCAACGAAAACAATTTCATTATGCAGCACAGCACATGTAGCAATTAAATGTTTCGGGCCAAAACGTTCCTCGTCAGTTAGCAAGTTGCCGAAATGGCAAAACGAAAGCGACACATGCTAAAAGCAGCTGAACAAGGGCGGTACTCCCGTGCACAAGCACACACCACCAGAGCCTGAATGAAGACAGCGAAAATTGACGCGCCAACCACGCCGCGAACACAAGCTGAGGCACACCACACAGACATGCACCGAGCGCGAAGTAAACCCGACACGGACAGCTTTGTTACTACTATTTTTAATCGGTTGCGCGCGCGCCTGGCGTTCCAGGTGTGCCTGTGCTCTCTTGACCACGCTTCAAGCAAGCGCAGGGCCGTGTGGCGGCTCGCTCCCGGCGCGCGGCCGTGCACGCAAACCCGCGAGACAGACAGACAGGCGGAGGCGGCGGCCTTCCGCGAGCGCGCACGCGTCGCCACACGAGCGCGGCCTCGCGCCACCTGTCGCGTACTCGCGTCGCGTCCTACCAGCTGGTAGGAGCCGCAGCGCTCGGCAGTCTTCCTAGGCTTGAGCAGGCAGCTCAATTATTCGGCGTGCCCAATCAAAACGTGAAAAGCAGCAGACGCGGCAGCAGGATATGAATATGCTCTCGCCGCGCTGGCGGCGTGGCGCGAACGACGACCCCGTTCCGTCTCCGCGGCTTCCTTCCCTCGCGCGGAGCCGAGGAAGCCGCCAACGCGCTGGCTGTCCTGTCCTACCCGACTAGGGGGAGCTCGCTCAGCTGAATGCGCGTGCGTGGCAAACGCCGCCGGGCCCACTGGTCAGTTCGGACCAGCAAGAGCCGCGCGGGCGGCGAGCGGGAGGGAAGGTGCGGGAGCAGTTCAGCTCCACTAACGCACGAGCGAAAGGGAAAAGGGGCGAGGCAGGCGTTGTGGAGATGGGAGTGGGAGACTCACGTTGAGCTGCTCGGTGACGGTGTCCTGCTGGTTCCACGCCGTGGCGATGGCGACCCCCGTCTGCGACCGCTGCCCCAGCCGCGCGAACGAGTTGTGCGTCGTCAGCCACGCGTACCGGTTGAACGGCAGGTCCCGCGCCTGCGCCACAGAGGATTCTCGGTGAATCAATGAACCGCGGCGGTTTCGCATCCCCGTCGAGCGGCGCGGCGGACGGAGAGTGAATTCGTGGTGCTCTGTGTGCGTACCTTGGTCTGCGGGTCGACGGGGGCGACGCGGGTGCAGCGCGGCCGCACGTTGCCGTTGGCGACGCAGGTCTCGCAGTGCAGCCCGGCGTCGCAGTTTCGGTCCGCCGCGCACGTCTGCCCCACCTTCCGCGCCGACGCCACCGCGCAGGACCACAGCAACAGCACCGCCGCGAAGAGAACGAGACGGCCACGGACGACCGACGCCGGCAGCAGCCGGCACGCCCTCGCCATCGTCCCCCTTCCTTCCCTCGCGTTCCTGTCGGCGCGCGCGCGGCGAGGCGAGGCGGATGGGCTAAGCAGGCGGTTGTGTGGGGTGGGAAAGCCACGCGCGCGTGCCGATTCGCTCGCGGCTTTTGAGAGGCGCTTGTGTGGATTGCAAGGCCGGGCATGTCAGTTTTTGTTGTTGCGTCCCGGCGGCGCCGGCCTGCGTGGCGTTTGTGTGTGGCCTTCGCGTTTCCGCCTTTCCGCCACGCGGATGTTGGTCGTCTCCGTCCACGGCGGGGCCCGCATGTCATGTGAAAACGGTGACGAGTGGGGTAGGTGGTACCGGTCGCGCCGACCCTGGGAAACACCCATCCGGCCGAGGTTGCCGTTGCGGTGGTCCGGTGCCGCTGCTGCCGCAGGTACAAGTACAACCGCCAGCCAGGGGAGCTGGCCTGGTCGCAATACAACCCACACAGTCCTCATTACGCACATTATTAATTCTACTAGACTACAATGTCATGATTTGATTTATTTGTCGTATATCTGGTGCTAAGTAATGGGCTATGATATTTATCACTTGACTAAAAACTGTCGTGGTGGCTAATGGTGGTAATACAATTCGCGCCGCACTACGGTCATTATTCAAAATAATCATTCGAATCAATTTAGCTTTTTTTTTGTCATATAGAAAAGATTGGTGACAATTCCCCTCTAACAAATACCAAGGCCACATGTCCTCCTTTGCCGGTCTTGCGTGTACCACTCAACAACAGCAACGTAAATTTTTTTGCATCCCATCCGTTCGTCGTGTCTTCGGTGTAACATTTGTGAAAGAAACAAAGCGAATCTATGATTTGTGTTGAGAAGATCAAACTGTCGGCAGGAACACATGTGGAGCTTCTCACCTTCGAAGTTTCCGACGGTAAATCTTTTTGCGATGACGACTTTGGCTGATGGAACAATGCACTCTTTGTGTTTATGATGCTCACTACTCTGGTTTATTGTCGACATGGTTTGTCGATGGAGGCCTTCACTACAACAGCTTGACGATGCTATCTATGAGTGTGCATTTCAGACGCCTGGCGTCGTGATTGTGTTGATGTGTCTATGCTATAGTAATTGCCTGACAATTGCAATAAATAAAACTCACATATGATCCGATTCAGTGGCCGCATCATATGGTTAGAGATATTATAATTTAAAATCTAAGTGAACCATCATATAAGTAATTTTGACCATTAGATATATATGGTAATAGTACAAATATATGGTAGGTGTGTTGCAAAGATCATTGAGGGCTTCCATGGAGAGATTGCACTCCTGCTTCAGCTCCTGTGATATGCATGTCCTCACCCGCTGACCGTTGTTAGCTACAATCGATGTTATTTTTTAATGAGTGTAACAACTTGCAAGTCTGGCACGTTAAGCAATATGAGATTCCTAGTGATGTCCCATGGAACTGGTCGGTTAAGTTGCGGGACCAAAAACAGTGGCTGAGCCAAGGGAAATTGGGAGGGGCAATGGCCCCCTTCTCCAAAAGTTACACTAAAACATATTTTTATATAGTTTTATGTTAAATAGTGTAGTATTTAATCTCTCTTGTATAAAAGAAAAACAACTCATATGTTTGTTTGGCCTCCTCTCCTACCTTCCCTCCAACATTGATGAGCTTAACTTTTTTAAGCACCAAGTTTAACTTGTTTAGTGGTTACAAAAGCTTCAGTAGCACCTAAGGTCCTGTACTCGACTTTTCGTGAGAGTGATGTTTTTATGATTTAATGGCGTTGTGCATTCAGTGGGAGGCGACGTCCCTGCTGACAGCGAGACGGCTGTGGTAACTTTATGAATCTCATAACCAGTCAGCTTAGTCTTTCAAAGATGCTCATAGAGGCTATGGATTGCGTGTTTGTGTTCATAGAAGTGAGTACTCGTGTGTGTTTGTTAATTCGTTGTTTGTACTGTGTTTCAAAAAGAAAATATGATTATTTATACTAATCAATAATCAGTTTAGGGCACGCATGACCAAGGTTTGCATTTTCGAAAAAACTGGGAAAACCGCTCCCAAAAAACCGGTCCGTTAAACCGGAAAAACCGGACGGTTTACCATTTTGTTCGAAAATACATTGTCGGTTTTTTCGAAATACCGGACGGTTTGGCTTACCGGACCGGACCGGTTTTTCCGGTTTTTCCGTTACCGGTCCGGTTTGGACCGGTTTTGAAAACCCAGCGCATGACCCCTACCATGGGCCGTATGATGGGTACTAGTGTGCGGTGTGCCTGTGTTTAGCAGGCCTATTCGATACATAAGCCCATGGGCATAGTCAGGTGAGCCACCGAAGTTATTTTGAAATTACACCACTCTTAGTTTTTATCCAGTTGTCTCTAGCCATGCACGTATACATTACTCAACAATATAAACTTTGACCGTCAATATCTCTTGAAACAATTGGATTTACTTCAAAATATTTAAGCTCCCTTCAATTTTTTATTCCTATCGTTAGGACACTAACTTACAACTTTATACTAATCAGCATATCCTAACGACAAGAATGAAAAAACAGAGATAGCACCTATAGGATTGACCGCTTGCATTACTAGAAATGCGATGGCTGCTCCAGCATTTTTTTTTGTGATTATTTATTTATTGTTTTTGAAAATGAGAGGGGTGATAACATTTTGGTGGGATATGAACACATGGGTAGGTTTGGTGCGGAGCAGCCAAAGGCAAGTAGCACACTCACAACGCACGCACACTCACTCTTACGAAGGCAAGTAGCACACTCACAACGCACGCACACTCACCCCTACGAACGCACATACGCAAATCCTACCCCTATGAGCATTTTCGAAGACGGGCCTACCGCTGAAAGCACAAATGCCGTTAAATCTTAGAAAATTTGCTGCTACCGGAAGTCGAACCCAGAACCTTAAAAGTGCTACTCAGATGACTTAACCACTAGGCCAAAACCCCTTTCACACTGATCTAGATAATTGAACAAATATGATTTGGAGATGTGCGCTATTATGATTTGGGCCATTTGCTTCGAACCCTCAAAAAGGCCTGGCGCATGCAGCTCTCTAAATCGATTTTGAGCGGGCCTGAGATCGCTGCAGCCGCGTCAAGTCTCGTCGAAACAGAGCCATGCAGTTCGTTGTGATAGTGATACCGTCTACTGTTAATCGGAGCACCAGTGGGCAAATTATCGCATGAAAAGGAACTCAAAAACGTATTTGGAAAAGAGCTTATGGCGGCCAGAGAGAAAGATGGTGCTCTCTCCGGCACGAGAGAGGATGCAGACAACTCTCTGCTCGCGCAACCCATCTTTTGAGGCTATTTTTGGCATGTCCACTGGCTGTGTAGTTCGACGTAGGAGTGAGTACGCATTGCTGCGTTGCCCGAGAGGAACTTCCTGGTCAGAGACCAACAATGGCGTCGTGACAACGAACGGATACCCGTGTCTGCCTCTGTGGTCAAACGCAGCGCAGGGCTCTTGCTCTCTGTTGACATGAACGGCTGCTGGCCCCGTGAAGGAAGTCCAGTTTCTCTACTGTCGTTCCTCGCAGGCTTCTGCAGCTTGGATCGATCGGCCTAGGATTCCGGCTGTAACAAATTCCCTGACAATATGCTCTAAACGAGCAATCATTAATCAAGTTGCTCGCCATGCGTATGCACTGATCATCGATGATGCAGGACGATGGAACATTGCAGTTGCACACGAGCCGTCGCCGGCCGGACGGGTCACGAGGAAACAGGACAGCGGGGTCGCGACGGCGGACGCGCGAGGCCCGACGATAGATGCGGGGTGAGGGACCTCTTCTCTGTCTCGGGCGCAGCGGCGGCGCCGCGCGCGGTTGGAATACTGTTGCGGGGCGGCATGGGCCGCGGCCAGTCCACGCCACGTCGCGGAGCCGAGCCGAGCCGGGCGTCGCGCGCTCGCATCCCCGTGTGCAGTGCGCGCCCGTGAGCCAGCCCAAACCCAAAAGGACGAAAGCTACGAGAGAGAGTGTAGAAAAGAACAGGGGAACCTGCGGGTGCGCCCCGGCACGGCAAAGCGAAAAAGCGAGCGCGCGAGCGGAAAAGCGCTGCACCGCATCGCATCGAGTTGGCGTCGGGTGGTAGCCTGGCATCCCATTCCTTGCCCGACGACTTCGCCTCCTTTCCCTTCCTCCCGCGCCGGCGCACCGCACTGCACTCACTCCCCCACTCCACTCTCGCCGTTGGTGCGGCGGCGGCGCTCCCGATGCGGCGGCCCCGGCTCGCGCTGCTGGTCCTCTGCGCCGCCGCGCTGCTCGCGCCACCTTCGGCGATCGCGGCAGGTAACCGCCCCGGTTCTCCCACTCCCCTTTTTCCGCCTGCTTCTCCGGTAGGCGGGTAGCTGCCGTCATTGCCACCTCGTGTTTCTTACTGTTGATTGCTGGGTTTGGGCGTCGGAGCGGCGGCGGCGACTAGCCTCTGCCAGTGCAAGCGCACTTGGCTGGCTCAGCTAGTGTTTGCCATTTCTCCATCTTCGTGTTCCCTTTGCGCTGGCGACTCTCAACCTCTCGGAGAGGGATTATTTCTAGTATTACACATCCGCATTTCAGTTTTATATGATTATTGGGTTCGTTTCATTAGTTAGATTTTTTTTCCCGGCGTAACCTCCCAGGGGAACAGCTCCTACGCAGAGCTGAACGGGGACCTCGCCTTCGCTCCCGCGCTGCGGCAGCCTGCGGGGACCTCGCCCCCGCGCCATTCAATTCGCTCACCTAATGGGGGCTGCTGTACATGGGGCCTCTTTCACACGACTCGCTTCGTAGCCGTTGGATTTTGCTGTCAGCTGACCCCGTCCTGTCATCTGGTGTTATTGAATCACTAATTGGTTTGACTTCATCTTTACCAGATGATTTTTCACATGGGTTGTTCCGGCTTATTGTGTTTCAGAATAATGCCGAACAGTGCTGAACATTGACTTGTAGTGATATACTGATATGTACGTAAGCTAGATTCTGAATATCTGATTGTAGCACGTCTGATAAATCGGGTGTAGGATTTGGAATTTATGGCAAGTGAAGTAATTCTGTTGTGCCACTGCCATGTGAGATGTCGAGCTCGTACGTGTTATGTGATCTGATGCATTATATTAACTTCAGTTTCTGTTTGAAGATCGCAATTCATGTCAACAACAGAATTACAGAAACATTTAGGGGCTGCAGCACTAGATTGCACATTTTGATTGTTATGTGTGATGGACGTTTCGTTCCCAATTTCTGAAATCCCACCGGAACCAATAGTAGGCATAAGTTGCGATGAGTCTGATCTTCAAAAGTGCTCTGGTTATTTTCCATGCTTCCTGTGTTTATATATCTGCGCAGTCACTTGTTGCTCATGTTTGTCTTCTATATCATGCAGATTGTCCTCTGGATTTCAGTTGGCCTAACTACAATCAGATAGCTTCTGTGTGCTCGGATGAAAATGGACACTCAAAGTGCTGCCGTTACATCAATGCTGTTCTTGCGGTCTCATCTGCCATGTATGCCAACACAACAGGCACACTTGGAGTTCCAACTCAATATTCTGATGCTTGCATTGGCAATTTCTCTGACACATTGGTGGCAAAAGGGATACTGCCCACCGCCGCTTCATTTTGCGGCCTTGGAATCAAAATTCAGGTGTCTTATCAGTGTGTTGGGATGACTACAATTGTCGAAATGTTACAGTCTCCGAATTTCGGTGATGTCACAAGAAGCTGTGCAATTACACTTTCAGATGATGTCACTTGCAAGAGGTGCTTAAACTCTGGTCTGTCATATCTCCGCCATCTTGTGGGGGAAGAAGATAATATCACGTTGAATACCTGCCGTGATGCTGCTTTTGTTGCGTTTATGAGTCAAGGGAATATATCTACTGTTGATACAGCCAGTTGCTTTTTTACCGTTCAGGAGCTTAGCGCTCTTCAAGGTTTGCATATTTGATAAATAAATTTGCTTTTCTTTTCTGTAGAATAACAAGTGCCATAAGAGTTTGTGAGGGACAAAATTCTAAAAGATTCTGTGAACTTAGCGATGGAGCGTTTTCTTCCATAGACAAAATTTGTTCCTATGGCATAAACCTGGCACATCAAAGAATCATTCATAAATACCAAGTGGTTGTTGTGGACAACTGGACATTGCTTCTGATTCTTTGAAACAAGTTTATGTTTGTTAGTATCCTGAATTTTTTACAAGAATACTTCATTGGAGATATCCATCGCATTATCTTAATGTAAATATTCATAATAGGTGATTATTAGAACCATTCATATTTTCAAATGATGTCTACAATCTGTTGTAAGAATGGGTCAGTATAGACGTACAAATTGTATTTGGGTTATACTAGGTCGATAATATGATTCTGGAAACTGTACAAATCGTTTGTTATATGTTATTACGATATATTATATCTGCTTTCGTTATGCGAATTTGTAGTTGTACCTTTTTTTAACTAATTGATATGCTTATTTTTGCTTGTTGGGTGTATTAAAGTTTGTTCTCCTAAAAGTATTTACTTCTTGTTGTTCAATAATTCACATCTTGTCTTTATCTACAACGTGAACTTCTAACTGTAAATGTTGAACATATAATGCAGTGAACATCTCTGGGCCATCTCCAGCTGGACTTCCCTCACCAAATATTTCTCCTAGTCCACTTACAGTACAAGTTCCTGTAGTGCCACCCAAGCATCATCGAAGTTACAAGGTTGTTCTATTCCCAGCAATCGGCGCATTGGTTACCGGACTAGCTGTCGTGCTAATGATAGTACTGATTTTGCTAATCCGTCGAAAGAGTAAAGAACTAGAAAAGATGGAAGGAAATGCGTGGAGTTTCTCCTGTGTCAAAAAGGGCCAACAAGGTAAGCATTTCATGATTTTTCTTTCTGTTGTTGTTGTTCCTTAACTAATATTTGCACGTTTACATTTCCAACTATCTGTGATAATTTAATGAGGTTAGGTTGCATACAAGGTCTGGATGTTGCCTCTGGTTGTCATTTTTGTTCGGACATGCTTGATTTTAGAAAACAGAAAGTGATTACGGCCTAGCTTTTGCGTTTAATAAGGGAAACGAGTGAGAGTTGTAAGTTGTAACCCATGGCAAACATGACAGATGAAAAAGTCAGATCTGTAGCCTATGGCAAATATGACAGAAAAAGAAAAGTTATACTGTTCGTTTAGAATAATCAGTTCTTCTTTGGTCTCAGCCGCCCCCCCCCCCCCCCCCCCCCCCTCTTCCTGTAGCTACCAATAAAGAATATGACAAATGATGTAATCCAAAGTTCTCGCTACAATAAATCATAGCTGATAACATGAAATTTATTTTAAAATTTAAAGCTTCAACACTAGATTGATTAATGTCTGAACTGAACCTTTGAATTAGTTCACAACCAAAATCAGTTGAAGAGTCCTTTTAATGTATTTGACTAACAGGATCGTTTTGCAGGTAATTCCACCATTTTTGGCAGATTTAGTTACAATGAAATGAAGAAGGCAACAAAGAACTTTAGCACGGTGTTAGGAGGTGAAAATGGTACAGAATTCAAAGGACATTTAAACGATGGATCTGTGGTAGTTATCAGACGCCTTGAGAGTTCGCCGAAACAAAGTCAGAGAGAATTTTGTAAAGAAATGGAATTTATTGGGCGGTTGCATCATCGGCATCTTGTTGGACTAAAAGGCTTTTGTTTAACGAGATTTGAAAGGTAATGTCTGTTGTACATAAGTTCAGGTATCCACAAATTTATGATTCCTTACAAATCTTCCATCCAGATTTCAGGTGTATGAATACATGGAAAATGGAAGTCTTCAAGATCACCTACACTGTAATGTCATGTTTTCTTCTTATGGTACCCAATTTGTTGAATTGCGTGCTGAAAACTGCTTCACTTTGCAGCGCCAGGAAAACATCTGCTACCATGGAAAAACAGGATCCGAATAGCCATTGATGTTGCAAATGCGCTGG